CTGGAGCGCAGCTTGATACGACCGCAGAGGTCGAACCCTGAACAGTTGGGGCAAGTATGGACACAACATTCAAGCTTGATACAGCACTGAATTTGGATTGTAATTAAATATTTGACACAGCATAGGTTTCTGACACAGAATGAATGTGGTCTAAGAACTTAAAAAATGTTAATTTACCTATTCAAACCATATCATTATTATTTGCTTTTATATATAAATCAGAAATAACCGACTTAAAGTGAGAAATTTTAAAGAAAAAAAAGGAAAAAAAAATCCCCCCCCAAATTTTTTGAACCCCCTTATGATTCATCACCCCCAAACTCAATCAAAGCCTTCCCTTTGTGGTATGGTACCTTGCAGTACAATTTCAGAGAGATCCATACACTTGAACACAAGTTATTGTCTGGAAACTAGAAAAATGCTTTTTTTTTTTGCCCCTTTTTGGCCCCTAATTCCTTAATGTTTAGGGCAATTACCCCCAAACACAAACCAAGCTTTCCCTTTGTGATATGGAACCTTGCAGCACAATTTCATAAAGATCCATACACTTACACACAAGTTATTGTCCTGAAACTAGAAAAATGCTTGTTTTTTTGCCCCTTTATGGCCCCTAATTCCTAAAATTTGGAGGCAATTACCCCCAAAATCAATCCCAGCCTTCCCTTTGTGGTATGGTATCTTGCAGTACAATTTCAGAGAGATCCATACACTTAAACACAAGTTATTGTCTGGAAACTAGAATAATGCTTATTTTTGGCCCCTTTTTCCTAAACGTTTTGTGCAATTACCCCCAAACTCAATTCCAGCTTTCCCTTTGTGATATGGAACCTTGTAGTACAATTTCATAAAGATCCATACACTTACACACAAGTTATTGTCATGAAACTAGAAAAATGCTTGTTTTTTGCCCCTTTTTGGCCCCTAATTCCTAAAATTTGGAGGCAATTACCCTCAAAATCAATCCCAGCATTCCCTTTGTGATATGGAACCTTGTGGTACAATGTCAGAGAGATCCATACACTTACACACCAGTTATTGTCATGAAACTAGAAAAATGCTTGTTTTTTGCCCCTTTTTGGCCCCTAATTCCTAAAATTTGGAGGCAATTACCCCCAAAATCAATCCCTGTATTCCCTTTGTGATATGGAACCTTGTGGTACAATGTCAGAGAGATCAATAAACTAACACACAAGTAATGTCTGGAAGTTACAAAAATGCTTATTTTTTGCCCCTTTTTGGCCCCTAATTCCTTAACTGTTGGTACCATAACCCCCACCTTCCTTTTGTGGTATTGAACCTTATGGTAAAATTTCATAGAGATCCATTCACTTAAACTAAAGTTAGAGTGCGAAAACCAATGGGTCTTCAGACGACATCGACGCCAACGTCATACCAATATACGACCGCAAAATTTTTTGCGGTCGTATAAAAACTGAACTTTAACCACAGAACCATGAAAATGAGGTCAAGGTCAGATGACACCTGCCAGTTGGACATCTACACCTTACAATCTCCATACACCAAATATAGTAGACCTTTTGCTTTAGTATCTGAGATATGGACTTGACCATGAAAACTTAACCTGATCACTGATCCATGAAATAAAGGTAAGGTCAAGTGGAAACTGTCCGACAGGCATGAGGATATTGCAAGGTACGCACATACCAAATATAGTTATCCTATTATTATGAGAGAAATTAATATAACAAAAAATTTACATTTTTCAAGTAGTCACTTTACCATAATCAAAGCACTGTAAGCGCTGTAGGCAGTTAACCAAAAACCAAGGCAAACGTAATTATGAAAACTGTGGCAGTGTTGCTTCAATTTTTTTTTAAGATTTGAAAGAACAAACATTAAACATTCATATATTGTACATTTATGTTCATTAAATGAATTGATTATTAAGTCAAATTAATTAATATTTCGTCAAGGTTTTCAAAAGCAACTCATATATCAATGTAAATGACCCCCATCTTCACCCCCAAGCGCATGATGTTACTCCATACCAAGTTTGGAATAAAATGACAGGTGATTATAAAACAGTTGGTCAATCATTCTCGGGCTTTACACTGCTTGAAAGATTTATATGTTTTCTTTAAAATGAGCCATCAATGAAAATTATTATAGGCCCAGAAATAATTTAATAAATAATTAAAGTAAATTCAATTAACCTAGACTCATTTTTTGCATCAATAAAATTTTATAATAAACAAGAAATAATTGTAACAGGATGCCGTTACGAAGTCTCCCAAACAAAGCCCCCATAATTCGTCATTCCCATGGTCTCCTGACATTGGGCAAAGCCCAGTTCATATTGGTTTGGTCTAGTAAAGTGATATGCATATGTGACACCTAGGAGATTGACCCTGTATGTCATTCAAATCTTTTTGAAATGATGAACAGGAATAAATATGGTTTAGGTGTGGGTATCTCGACCATTTACAAGTTCTCAAACAGGAGGGGGTGGGGTGACCCCAGGGACTCCCCCTATATTTCATTTGATTTGTTATATTGTGCCACACATGAATACATATGGTTTAGGGGTGGGGGATCTCGACCATTTCCAAGTTCTCAAACAGGAGGGAGTGGGGTGACCCAAGGGACTCCCCATATATTTCATTTGATTTGTTATATTGTCCCATACATGAATATATATATATATGGTTATGGGGTGGGGACCTTGACTGTTTACAAGTTCTCAAACAAGAGGGGGTGGGGTGTCCCCATGGACTCCCTCTCTATTTCTTTTAATTTGTTTTATTGTCCCATACATGAATATATATGGTTTAGTGGTGGGGATCTCGACCATTTCCAAGTTCTCAAACAGGAGGGGCTGGGGTGACCCGAGGAACTCCCCATATATTTCATTTGATTTGTTATATTGTCCCATACATGAATATATATGGTTTAGGGGTGGGGATCTGGACTGTTTACAAGTTCTCAAACAGGAGGGGGTGAGGTGTCCGGCAGGACTCTCCCTATATTTCATTTGATTTGTTTTATTGTCCCATACATGAATGTATATGGTTTGGGGGTGGGGATCTCAACCATTTCCAAGTTCTCAAACAGGAGGGGTTGGGGTGACTCCAGGGACTCCCCATATATTTCATTTGATTTGTTATATTGTCCCATACATGAATATATATGGTTTAGGGGTGGGGTGACCCCAGGGACTCTCCCTATATTTCATTTGATTTGTTTTATTGTCCAATACATGAATATATATGGTTTAGGGGTGAGGATCTCGACCATTTCCAAGTTCTCAAACAGGAGGGGGTGGGCTACACCAGGGACTCCCCCAAATTATTTTCATTTGATATCTTTTATTGTCCCATACAAGTATATATATTGTTTAGGGTAGGGGATCACGACGGTTTACAAGATTAAAGTACATTTTCAAATTGAAGGGGGTTGGGATGACCCCCAGGGACTCGCCCTATATTTTTTTTTATTGTCCTGTTCTCATTACTGAAGACTGCATGTGTCTATCACTTACTGTTTTCGAGAAATAGTCATTTAAAAATTAAAAAAAATAAAATCCCATAGGGTTCTATAGTAAACCCCTCCCTTCTTCAGGCCCCTCCAAATACCCCTAAATAGACCCCAATGCACAAACAAAAGATTAATTGCTCCACTAGACATGTTAGTCTAATATTTGATGAAACCCTAAGTAATCTGACAAACAGTCAAAGTTGTCTTCTTAGACGGTTTGAGTGGATTCGGTCTGACTTGTCTCGGGACGAGTTGTCCACATTACTTAAAACATCCCATCAACGTCAATTTCCACATCTGTTTCATGACCTCGTTTCATTCATAAAATAACAACAACCTTATTTGGCAAGATAAGTTAAAAATTACGCCCACTTTTATAACTTTATTTCCTCTATCATAGAGATTTGTTGTACATGAACAATATTCCTGCGCATTTTGCCCTTTGGGAAATATAAACGACTTGTAATTACCGATTTTCGGCGATGAAATATTTCATACAATTGTTCTTTGACATCGTAGCCAAAAGCACAGGGGATAATAAACTACGTACAGATTTCTATTGAGCACTACTTCCTATGTTCAACTTCAAAAGTTTTGGGTAGTTCGACGATCATTTAAGGTTTTTCTGGTCATATTTTTTGTATCCCAGGAATAAAAGTATTAAAAAAATGTCAAATAAGTTATAAATAACATAATAGCCAGCTAGATAATAACAATGGTATGTATTTCAGCATTTATTGGGTAGAACACAAATCTAGGGTGCTCGCATAAGACAGATTAACTGCCTAAAAATGAGGTCATGGACAATGAAACTTTTTAACATAAGGCATCTATATACAAAGTATGAAGCATCCAGGTCTTCTACCTTCTGAAATATTAAGCTTTTAAAAAGTTAGTTAACACCGGCGGATCACTATCCCTATGTCTTGCTTTCTGAGACAGAAGTTGCAGGCTTGACAAAATCTGTACAAAAATAGTTCCATTTTACTTTCTTTCAGGTTTTTCATCAACTTGAAAAAAAATTTATCTTGAAAAATGGACTTAATATTCGGAGCCAATTATGGCCCACACCAAACTTAATCCTTTTCACATAAACATGAGGCCTGCTTTGTTCTAGTCTGAAATGCTGAGCTGGATTTTCAACATGCTTGCTTATGAGTTAACAGTCTGCAGGATGACATCTTACCTAACACAACACATTATTTAATTCTTGAGCTACCTGTCTACAACTCCTTAACAGTCCATACCAATTATTAAATCTAAGATTTGACCAGACCTGGGATGAAAACCATGACCTCTTGTACTTGAAGTTGGCTAGCTTTCACAAACAACCATAGTGGTTACAATAAAAAGTGATGTGGGGTATACAAGGAGCCAGCAACCCAACCTCTCATTTATCAACTCACAGGTTGAAAACTACAAACCTAAGATCCCTCATAACATCGGTTATAGACATGAAATTTAAAGACTTGCATCACAGGTAAAATTCTCAATTTCCCATTACAAAAGGTACACTTTAGTTTAATAATTCTATTTTCTATAAGCATTTATAACAACTGTGTAAAACAAGTAAAGTTGTCATTCATTGATTAACAATATTCTACTTTTACTTACAAGCACTACATGTACTAAAACTTGATTTGACAACATAAAATATGAGTAAAATTGTGCATTCACTCATTTATAAGATTGCATTAAACATGTCCTCTCTGGTAATATCAGATTGTATTAAACATGACTCCTTTTGTAAAATCAGATTGTAATAAACTGAACATGTCCTCTCGTTAAATCACATTGTATTAAACATGTCCTCTTTGTAATATCACTTTGTTTTAAACATTGTCTCTGGTAAAATCAGCCCGACAGTCAAAGATCTGCACCCCTTACATTTATTTTTTGTCTTTCTCTTTTTTATCAGCCTTTTTTGCAGGAATAAAATCTGGGAAAAATTCATCCATAAGCTGAATCAACTTCCTCTTGCCTTTGAAAGTATGTCTAATGAATGTTATTACTACTGATCCAAACTCTTTCCTGCCATTTGGTACATACTGTTCACATGCCTTGCATGCATTTTTCATATCCTCCAAAACGTTTATGTAGTGAGTATGATTACAGTTCCTAAGTTCTTGATTGAACTTAGCAAGGAAACTATTGACGAGCTCTTTTCCTAACTGTGTTTTTGTTTCCTTTAATCCAAGTGGGGAACCTTCCATGGCTTGGTAGAAATCTAACATGAGATTAACATCTTTTTTCAATACTTCTTTAAGCAATGTCATTAATTTAGTAAATGGATCACATTTAATGATCTCCTTACTTAAACATGCTGCTAGCATACCAAAGTACCACTTGAGGTATTTGAGTTCTTTACTGTTTAAATGTAAACCAGATGAAGACCATCCATAGCTTACATTCTTCTCCTTCAGAGATTTCAATCCTACCAAAAGGAAACTATTCACATATTTACTGAAAATATTCAAGTTTGGATTTGTTTTGGACATGAATTTATATTCAGTGATTCCAAGTCTCAACAAAGCACATGTAGTGAAGTTTGATGCATTAGATGCTATTTTCTTCAGCATCTGATGACGCTTAGTTTCATCGGGAAAGAAAATTCTCATCAAACTACAACATTCTCTATCGTGTTTAAAAGCAGACGTGAAGTATTTCTGCAGTGTTGGAGCCATATCATTAATGAGAGACGGCTTTACTTCCACAGCCTTGATGATGATACCAAGGATAGACTTCATTTGATACTTGTTGAAATATTTACACAATTCTGTCCACAATGGCAACACCCTTTCAGGAAACTCCTCTACAAGAGCATTACCAAGATACATTAGAGTATCAGCAACACTTGTAGTATAACTGAACAATCCATTTTGCCCACTGTGAAGAACACATTCCTTAATACAACTCAATAAAACAATGAGCAATATCCTTTGATCTTCTTTTTCTTTAATATTTTCAATATTCATTTTGATACAATTGTATGCAGATACCACATATTCACCATCCTGGACAGATTCTAAATGCCATAATACCTGTAAAAGATGCAAATATTAAACTAACTATAATTTATTAGAACTAGAGACTCTAAAGAGAATGTGTCGCTCACCTGCATCTTCATCAATGGCAACTTTTAAGTAAAAATCACCATTAAAGGGCAACAACTTTATTAAAGAGTTAACTGACAATTTCAGTCATGTTGACATATTTGTAGATCTTATTCTGCTAAAAAATTTTCCATTCTAAAGTTTCTATCTATATATCATAGTTTTCAAGATATTAGGCAAATAAAATGCTCCGCAGGGCGCAGCTTGATACGATCGCAGAGGTCGAACCCTGAACAGTTGGGGCAAGTATGGACACAACATTCAAGCTTGATACAGCTTTGCATTTGGATTGTGATTAAATATTTGACACAGCATAGGTTTCTGACACAGAATGAATGTGGTCTAAGAACTTAAAAATTTTAAATTGGACATTCACCTATTATGGTCCAATATCCAAAATCTAAATACATGGTTAGATTCAGCATATCAAAGAACCCCAAGAATTCAATTTTTGATGAAATCAAACAAAGTTTAATTTTGGACCCTTTTGACCTCAATGTGGCCAAAGTTGATAACGCGGCCCAAAAATCAAAAATCTAAATACATGGTTAGATTCAGCATTTCAAAGAACCCCATATATTCAATTTTTGTTGAAATCAAACAAAGTTTAATTTGGACCCCGATTTGGACCAACTTGAAAACTGGGCCCATAATCAAAAATCTAAATACATGTTTAGATTCAGCATATCAAAGAGCCCTAAGAATTCAATTTTTGTTAAAATCAAACTAAGTTTAATTTTGGACCCTTTGGACCTTAATGTAGACCAATTTGAAAACGGAACCAAAAATTAAGAATCTAAATACATGGTTAGATTCGGCATATCAAAGAACCCCAATAATTCAATTTTTGATGAAATCAAACAAAGTTTAATTTTGGACCCTTTGGACCTCGATTTGGACCAACTTGAAAACTGGGCCCATAATCAAAAATCTAAATACATGTTTAGATTCAGCATATCAAAGAACCCCAATAATTCAATTTTTGATGAAATCAAACAAAGTTTAATTTTGGACCCTTTGGACCTCAATGTGGACCAATTTAAAAACGGGGCCCAAAATCCAAAAACTAAATACACGGTTAGATTCAGCATATTAAAGAAACCCAAGAATTCAAGAATAAAACCCCATTGAAATTGGTCAAGAAATAAGCAATTTAAACGAAGTATCTTCTTTTGCACAATACTGTGCAATTAAATATTTCTTGCTATTGCGCAATACTGTACAATTGACAATTTCTTGCTATTGCGCAATATTGTGCTATTGGATATTTCTTGCTATTGCGCAATACTGTGCAATTGAAGATTTCTTGCTATTGCGCAATACTGTGCAATTGAAGATTTCTTGCTATTGTGCAATACTGCGCAATTGAAAATTTCTTGCTATTGCACAATACTTATTATATAATAATTTACACATCCTGTTTGGTGTGTATCTCCTACCATATCATTATTATTTGCTTTTAAATATAAATCAGAAATAACCAACTTAAAATGGAAAATTTTAAAAGAAAAAAAAAAAATCCCCCCCCTCCAATTTTTTGAACCCCCTTATGATTCATCACCCCCAAACTCAATCCCAGCCTTCCCTTTTTGGATTGGTACCTTGCAGTACAATTTCAGAGAGATCCATACACTTGAACACAAGTTATTGTCTGGAAACTAGAAAAATGTGTTTTTTGGCCCCTTTTTGGCCCCAAATTCCTAAACGTTAAGGGCAATTACCCCCAAACTCAAATCCAGCTTTCCCTTTGTGATATGGAACCTTGTAGTACAATTTCAGAAAGATCCATACACTTACACACAAGTTATTGTCCTGAAACTAGAAAAATGCTTCTTTTTTGCCCCTTTTTTGCCCCTAATTCCTAAAATATTGAGGCAATTACCCCCATCATCAATCCCAGCCTTCCCTTTGTAGTATGGTACCTTGCAGTACAATTTCAGAGAGATCCATACACTTGAACACAAGTTATTGTCTGGAAACTAGAAAAATGCTTATTTTTGGCCCCTTTTTGGCCCCCAATTCCTAAACGTTTCGGCAATTACCCCCAAACTCAATTCCAGCTTTCCCTTTGTGATATGGAACCTTGTAGTACAATTTCAGGAAGATCCATACACTTACACACAAGTTATTGTTATGAAACTAGAAAAATGCTTGTTTTTTGCCCCTTTTTTGGCCCCTAATTCCTAAAATTTGGAGGCAATTACCCCCAAAATCAATCCCAGCATTCCTTTTGTGATATGGAACCTTGTGGTACAATGTCAGAGAGATCCATACACTAACACACAAGTTATGTCTGGAAGTTACAAAAATGCTTATTTTTGGCCCCTTTTTGGCCCCTAATTCCTTTACTGTTGGTACCATAACCCCCAAAATCAATCCCAACCTTCCTTTTGTGGTATTGAACCTTGTGGTAAAATTTCATAGAGATCCATTCACTTAAACTAAAGTTAGAGTGCGAAAACCAATGTGTCTTCGGACGACGCCGGACGACGCCAGACGACGACGACGACGACGACGACGCCAACGTCATACCAATATACGACCACAAAAATTTTTTTGCGGTCGTATAAAAACTTAATACACGGTTAGATTCAGCATATTAAAGAACCCCATTGAAATTGGTCAAGAAATAAGCAATTTATAGGAAGTATCTTCTTTTGCACAATCCTGTGCTATTAAATATTTCTTGCTATTGCGCAATACTGTACAATTGACAATTTCTTGCTATTGCGCAATATTGTGCTATTGGATATTTCTTGCTATTGCGCAATACTGTGCAATTGAAGATTTCTTGCTATTGTGCAATACTGTGCAATTGAAGATTTCTTGCTATTGTGCAATACTGTGCAATTGAAAATTTCTTGCTATTGCACAATACTTATTATATAATAATTTACACATCCTGTTTGGTGTGTATCTCCTACCATATCATTATTATTTGATTTTAAATATAAATCAGAAATAACCAACTTAAAATGGAAAATTTTAAAAGAAACAAAAAAAGGAAAAAAAGAAAAAAAAGGAAAAAAAAATAAATCCCCCCCCCCAAAATTTTTTGAACCCCCATTATGATTCATCACCCCCAAACTCAATCCCAGCCTTCCCTTTGTGGCATGGTACCTTGCAGTACAATTTCAGAGAGATCCATACACTTGAACACAAGTTATTGTCTGGAAACTAGAAAAAAATGTGTTTTTTGGCCCCTTTTTGGCCCCAAATTCCTAAACGTTTAGGGCAATTACCCCCAAACTCAAACCCAGCTTTCCCTTTGTGATATGGAACCTTGTAGTACAATTTCAGAAAGATCCATACACTTACACACAAGTTATTGTCATGAAACTAGAAAAATGCTTGTTTTTTGCCCCTTTTTTGGCCCCTAATTCCTAAAATTTGGAGGCAATTACCCCCAAAATCAATCCCAGCATTCCTTTAGTGATATGGAACCTTGTGGTACAATGTCAGAGAGATCCATACACTAACACACAAGTTATGTCTGGAAGTTACAAAAATGCTTATTTTTGGCCCCTTTTTGGCCCCTAATTCCTTTACTGTTATTACCATAACCCCCAAATTCAATCCCAACCTTCCTTTTGTGGTATTGAACCTGCTGGTAAAATTTCATAAAGATCCATTCACTTAAACTAAAGTTAGAGTGCGAAAACCAATGTGTCTTCGGACGACGCCAGACGACGCCGGAGGACGACGACAACGACAACGACGTCATACCAATATACGACCACAAACATTTTTTTGCGGTCGTATAAAAAGGCAAAAAAAAATGTAAAAATTTATCATTAAAGGGCAATAACTCCAATAACAAGTCGACTGAAGATTTCGACCATAATGGCTTATTTGTAGATCTTGTCTTGCTGATATTTATGCTATTTAGAGTTTCTATCTATCTATTACAGTTTTTCAAGATAATAGGCAAAAATGGGAAAATCGTCATTAAAGGGTAATAACTTCAATAAAGAGTCGACTTACAATTTTGGTGATGTTTGACTTATTTGTGTTATTTAAAGTTTCTATCTATTGTGTTATTTAAAGTTTCTATCTATCTATTACAGTTTTCAAGATATATGGCAAAAAGGCAAAAATTTGGTAATAAACTATTAACACAGGGATATGTCTTGTCTTTTTGTTATATTGATAATGCAAATGTAGAAATTAAAATGGCAATACTTTACATGTAAGCTATGCAAATATTCAAAGTCAATGAACCATGACTGAAGGTACAGGGCTAAACAATCTCCATGGAAATCAGATGTGCCAATGCTAATACAATTGCATACCAAATACCATTGACTTTTCATAAGTCGTTCCCTTTAACATGTTTAAACAAACCTAAACACAAACATTTAATTGTAAACTATTTAAAAGTTTCAAAGTCAATGAACCATAATAAGGTGGTGGGGTTATATAATCTCCATGGAAATGAAACTTGCAAATGCCAATACATTTGCATACCAAATATCAACAACTTAACATTAGTGGTTCATATTAAACTGACCTAATCACAAACTAATACATGAAAACTAAACAAATAAATTGCTTCGTTGAGCACAGCTGGACACGATCGCAAAGGTCCAACCCTGAACAGTTGGGGCAAAAATGGACACAATATTCGCGCTTGATACAGGTCTGAATTTGGATTGTAATTAAATATTTGACAAATAATAGGTTTCTGACACAGAATAACTGTAGTCAAAGAACTTAGATTTGGTTATATGATTTGAATTAATTTTCAATTTTTTGCTTTTGTGCAATACACTATGCTGTTGCTTATTGACCCCCTCCCCCTTTTTTTTTGCAAAAAAAAAACTATTTGAAGATTTCTGAAATCTGAAATGAGAAAAAAATGACCCCCACAATTTCTTTTAACCCCCCCCCCCCCCCCTTTTCCCCAAAAAATAATTCTTTCCCTCAAG